ACTAAATGTCTAAGAGGAAACTTACCAGATTAAGGATACCAGAAGCACTGCTCTGAGCAATAAAAAGGTCAATGAGATGGATTTCCAAATAAAGAAAAATAAAGATCACTGGAGGAGTTAAGGAAGTTTAAAAGAGTAGCTGTGAGACTTTGACCAAATCACGGCCTCTCTGAATCTTGATATTTTCATCTGTAAATTGTGGACTAAATAAATAAGGTAATGTATATATGAAGCACCTAATCCAATGCCCAGCACATTGGAGCTACTCACTAAGTCACTGATGATGAATGATGACAATAACGATTAGAAAAGTATCACAGTCATTGAGAATGTTGGCAATAGCCTGGTAGCTACAAAGGAAAGCCAAAGCCAAAAAATAAACAATAAAAAAAAAAAAAAAAAAAAAGGAAAGCCAAAGCCCTCAAGGAATGAAGATGAGTAAATGGTAGTGATGAGGACACCAAAGGAGTAGCAGATCACTGGGTGGGGTTTTCAAAGGAAAGGAGAGTCTAAACACTGACTAAGTCATCAGAACACAGCATTTTTTACCTCTTACCCATAAAGATTTGGGAGTCACCAGAGAGAAAGCAATTTGCACTTAAGTGGTGAATAAGGGGAATTAGGTTGGAATAGGTCAACCTTATTTTGCTCACTTTCAGACGGACATGTTTTAATTTTCTCTTTTAGTTTAGTTTACTGCTTGCAGTGGTCTTAATGTCTGTGTTCCCCACTACCTCCAAATTCATGCGTTGAAATTCTAACCTTCAGTATGATGATATTAGGAGGGAGCCTTTGGGAAGCAATGAGGTCATAAGAGTGGGGACTCTACAAATAGGATTAGTTTTTCTATAAATGTGGTCCAGAGAGCTCTCTCATCCTCACACAGCCATGCAAGGATTAAATGTCCATATATAGATCTATTATGGTGGAATTGTAGAACTTCGAGGAAAGAGAGACAAAGCTTATAATGATTGGTTTTGCTCTTCAACCACAGAAGCTTCTTAAGCAAAGGATGAAACTAGTATCTTAAGATGATTCTGGCAGCAGCACAAAGACAGATAGAAGGGACCAGAAAAATGAGGGCAGGTAGGTGATCAATTAAGCTGGAAGATGCCCTCATGGAGCTTTCAGTCTAGTGGGAGACAATGGCCTACCTTCTTCCACTAAAACAATACTGTGCTCATAGTAAATGCTCATATACCTATTAGATCATTTTTTTAATTGGACAAATCTTTACACATATATAAAAAGCTCTCTCTTTTGCTCCTGGCCAAATAAATAAATAAAGCAAGATTACAATAAGACTGTTTTCTATTGACTTAGCAGTATCATTGGTATCATGTGAAAAAGAAGGTATCAAACTAAGTTGAACAACCAAGGTAATTAGTAACTCTGATGTCATTGAGATTAAAGCAAGTTCTGTATTTGAAAGAGTCCTTTCAAATGGAGAGTCGAATACAGCTGATAGGCTTGTACAGTAAATTAATGTAAACCACTATTTAACCCTGGAAACTGAAATTACCGCTAGCTCTATCTGCAAACACTGTGCGTACCTAACAGCTGACGCGTAAATTTAAAGGCACCATCCAAACCACGCTGACCTCAAAACAATCTGATGCTTTGTCAAGAAACATTCTCTAGTCCCCTTGGAAAGGAGACAAAATACCAATGCTGAATAAATATCAAAGACGCGGTTCAAAGACGGAGCTCACATTCTTGATATTAACATCCCTTAGCTGAAAATTCCATCAAATTTAAAGGAGTGCAACAACGGAGTGCAACAACAAAGCGGGGGGGGGGGGGAACCACAGCAACTTAAACATACAGGGTTACAAAGATAGTACTAATCCTTGGTATTAAATAGAATACTTGATTAATCTTTGTGATTCAGTATATTTAAAATCAGGACAGGATGACAGTTTTTAAAATGGAGAACAGGCAGAGGGGAAAGATATCAAGTTAAATCAAGAAAAGCTATTAACATCCCATTGGAAATGGAAGCATTTTATTGGGAATGGATGTTCAAACAATCAATAAGTAGATCATCACTGTCACACAAACATTACTCCAAGGTAAAAATGTAGCAAGTTTAATGCACATGCCAATGACTCAGGTTTTCACCTCACTAGGGATTTTACCAAGCTGGATCTAATATTTTGATCTTATTCCAAATCATACTTTAAGAATCAGTAATTCCATAAATAAATAAATAAATAAATACACACGCACACACACACACACACACACGCACACACACATATATATATTTTTTTTTTCCTAATGCCAGAACACAGAACTTAATTAGGCTACCAAGGTTGTTCTGGCTGGCACTGGTCAAATTTGAGATAAAGAAAGAGAACAAACTGGTGTTTGCCAGAGTACATGGAGTGGGGGGTGGGCAAAATGGGTAAAGCTGAGTGGGAGATACAGGCTTCCAGTTATAGAATGAGTAAGTCACAGGGATGAAAAGGACAGCAGAGAGGGCACCCGGGTGCCTCAGTGGTTGAGCATCTGCCTTCGGCTCAGGGTGATTCTGGGGTCCTGGGATCAAGTCCTGCATTGGGCTCCCCTCGGGAGTCTTGCCTCTCCCTATGCCTGTGTCTCTGCCTCTCTCTGTGTCTCTCATGAATAAATAAATAAAATCTTTTTTTTTTTTTAAAGCACAGCATAGGAATAGAGTTGATGGTGCTGTAATAGCATCATATGGTGACAGATGGTAGCTACACTTGTGGCAAATACAGAAGAACACAGTAGAACGTATAGAGATGTTGAATCACTGTTGTATAACTGAAACTAATATAACATTGTATGTCAACTACACTTCAGTAAAGAAGAACTAGAGCCAACAATAAAGTAAGTGTAAAGGGACAGAAATAATATTGGAGACAAAAATAAAACTGCCTTATGATTACCAAAAAATAAATAAATTTACAATGAAGAACTCATCTACAGAGTCTTCAGAACCAAAGAGCAGACTAACCAGCTGAGTGTAAACACGGCTGCACCCCATCACACAGGGAACTGCATTCAAGGCAATTTCAACTGTGGCATAAGAACGCTAGGGTAAAACAGCACATACACACACTACTTCATTTCAATTTTCCTCTCAACTGTAAACCAAAGGAACATTTTAAATTCCTTTCTGTCAGGCAGCCCCGGTGACTCAGTGGTTTAGCGCCGCCTTCAGTCCAGGGTGTAATCCCGGAGTCCCCATATCGAGTCCCACGTCGGGCTCCCTGCACGGAGCCTGCTTCTCCCTCTGCCTGTGTCTCTCCCTTTCTCTCCCTCTCTGTGTCTGTCATGAATGAATGAATGAATGAATGAATGAATGAATGAGTAAATAAATAAATAAAATTCCTCTCTGTCTAGTACTATGTTAGAAACTATAAAATAGGGCAGCCTGGGTGGCTCAGTGGTTGAGCATCTGCCTTTGGCCCAGGGCATGATCCTGCGGTCCCAGGATTGAGTCCCACATGGGGCTCCCTGCATGGAGCCTGCTTCTCCCTCTGCCTGTGTCTCTGCCTCTCCCTCTCTGTGTCTCTCATGAATAAATAAATAAAATGTTAAAAAAAAAATAGAAACCTAGAACTTTATGAAACTTTGTAGGCTGACACACAAAGAAAATTTAAAAGTTGGAGACCAGTCTCATATATATAGACAACATGTAAGTAACAAATACAGATGCTCGGGTATATAATAGTAACAGTACATAAAGTGCTAACTATGCATCATGCCTAGGAATAGAGGTTAAAAAGGAAAACATTCGGTGGGTTCAATTTCTTGAAGAAAGCTTCAGAGAGTAGATGGAAGGTAGCATATCTCTTTTAAAATGAGACATTGGTGAAGAGGGCAGGGGGCTTTCAAGAAAGGGCTTTCCAGGGGTGCCTGGGTGGCTCAGTCAGTTAAGCATCTGCCTTTGGCTCAAGTCATGATCCCACAGTCCTGGGATCGAGTCCCACATTGGACTCCCCTGCTCAAGGGAGTCTGTTTCTCCCTTTCCAAAGGCCAAGAGGTGGGCTGTAATGAGAACAATCTGGGGAAAGAGGACAAGGGAATGGAAGTCCAGGGACAAGCAAGGTCAATGAGGTACAAAGATACAATAAGGGGACCACTGATAGACAGCTGAAAGCTCAACAGAAGCATTCAGGATTAACGTTCTAGCACTGGGGATCCTGGTCACTTTTGAACAGGTGAGTAACATGCTGAGATTGGTATATCTTAGCTGGCCAGGCTTTAAAGTGGGCTTAACAAACCACAGCCCGGGGGTCAAATCCAGCCCACCACCTGCTTCTGTCAATAAAGTTTCACTGAAACACAACCACACCATTTGTTTATGTATCGAGTTGAAGAGTTCGGACTACAAAGCCAAAAGATTCACTATGAGGCCCTTTACAGAAAGACCTTGTGCCCCTACTTACAGTATGAATTAATTAAGAGACTGAGTTATAGGAAGATCAATGAGGCTACAACAATAACAAAGATGAGAAAGCAGCAGAATAGAGGGAAATGGGAAAATTGTAAGAGACAATGAATGGCCTCACCGACATAACCGGCAACATCACCGTGAGAATATCTCTGGAAACGTCTGGAGACCAATACGTAAGAGTGAGTAACAAAGCTTAACAGAAGTTACTGCTTAGTAGCATAGTAATAAAATCACCAAAAAGATTTTAATAGGTGATGCCCAAAGCAGTTTTCAGAAGAACCTCATTATAGAGCAGCTTATTTATTTGTATATACCCTACAGATCAATACAACAAAAGCTTATTCTAAAAGGCTACTCCATATAGCAAAGATTAATGTGACCTGTGACACTGAAGTGACAAAAAATTATTTGTAACCAATCTGACTCTATATATACATATATATAATATATATGTATATATATTTTATATATATATTAATATATTTATTTTATGGCAAAGCACATTATTTTTACAACTCCTCAAAAAGCTCAATTGTTGTAAAAAAAAAAGATGTTTACTAAGGACTATAATTTTTCTTTGGGTAGTTAAGTTTACATTTGCAAAAATAAATACATCATTTAAAAATTAATAATAGGGCGCCTGGGTGGCACAGTGGTCGAGCATCTGCCTTTGGCTCGGGCAGTGATCCTAGAGTCCCAGGACTGAATTGCACATCAGGCTCCCCTCAGGGAGGCTGCTTCTAGAACCCTCTAACTCTCTCTGTGTGTCTCTCATGAATAAATAAATAAATAAAATTTTTAAAAATTAAAATTAATAAATATATAGTGGATCTGTTGGTCATTCATGATTACTTAATAGCATCAATACTACTATGGGTAGTAAAACATGAAATAATTGATAAAATAAGCATAGCGTTTAACCAAGGACACCTGCTGAGAGGTAGAGATGGAGGACGACGCAGACAGGGCTCAGACTAGTCTCCATGCCTTCAGGGTTTTTACCAAGAGCTGTCATGCACAGACTGCTAGGATTATCTTCATCAAATCAGATCTGATCAAGTCACTCTGCTGACAAGATTCTGAGTTTGGAATCTGAACTGTGCCTCCCAGTTTGGCTTCAGCTTAACTTTATAGCCTCATCTACAGTAACCTCCCCTGTCTTTAGCTACACTGGAACACTCACTGCTCTTAAAAACAATAATAGCTGACAATTATTCAGCACCATCTGTATGCAACTGTGTAAACTACTTCATCTGATCTCAGTTAATCATCACAACCACCCTATTACAAAGATATTGGGATCATTACCACATAAGCTCCAAGGCCCCAGAGTAACACTAACTCCTTTCAAAGTACACAGCTCTATATCAAATTTATATAAAATGTAATATTTTGCATTCTGTATCTCTCATGGGTCCCATCAAATTGTATTAAGCTGCAGAGTGCACATAACCTAGATCTGCCCCCTAATTATTATTATTATTCTCATTTTACTGAGGCTCAGAGAGATTAAATAATTTGCCAAAGTAGTCACTACAAGGAATTAGATAAAATTTGAACCTAGGTCTATCTGTCTTCAGTACATAAAAGTTTGCCTATAGCACAAGGCTGCACTTCTGTTCTTATGGTTCCCATTGCCTGCAATGACTATTTCTCCACTTCCTCCTATTTTCATCACTAGACTCCCAGCAGGCTCCCATTCACCCTCCAAAGCCCGACTAAAGTGTTACTCCTTCCTCACATCCTTCCTTGACTCCTTCTGCAAAGATGAGATATACCTTAGCTATCCTGGTATTTTAAACACCTACCACAATATATGAATGATATAATATAATCAAAAGCGTATGTTTTTTGGAGTCAAATGGACCCAGGTGCAAATTATGCCTCTGCTACTTATTTGTGGTACAATCTAGGCCTAGGCCAAAATATTTAACCACTCAAACCCTTAAGTTCTTCATCTTTAAAATAGGGGCAATAACTCTTATCCCATCAAGTCATTTAAACACCCAACCATTCATATACCCATTCAAGAGATACTTAATGAGTGCCTACTGCATGCTAGTCACAGAGTATATGACTGTGGCACAGAAAACAGGTATAGTCCCTACCTTTAGGGAGCTGACAATCTGGTGAGGGATACAGGTAAGTGAACAGATGATTAAAATGCAGAGTGAGAAGACTACTGATTAAGACCACGGCAGGGCATAGAAGAGTTTATGGGAAAGGCATCACGACCAACCCCAGACTTCAGAGGTCAGGGTCAGGTAAGGACAGTGGAGATGAATAGCAATTCAATGGTAAGTCTCTTAAAAATAAAACAGAGCAAATATTCAAGACAGATACCTCAGGTAATTTGAACTTAATAAAATACTTCCACCCCACCCACACCATAATCACACGTCCCTCATTTCTTAAGCATTTGAAAACTCCTCTAGAATGTCAGGGAGGGAAAACTGACTTTTTTTTTCTAACAATAAGTGGGTTAATAAAAATGAAACCCTGTGCACTGGCCTGGGCAATAGAAACCCTGAGACTCACAGAAGCGGCCATATAAATAAAAATAAAATCTGATTCTTTCTCCGCATTCTGTCACAACCCTAAGAACTCCTTAACATTTGCTCTTGTTTTCTGTGTTAAAGCATTTAATGACAGAACAAGGAAATCATTTTTACATTTTTCTGGGGGCTGAACTGCTGCATAAAGTGAGAGAGCAATTGCAGCTTTCAAAAGAGATGCTAATTGCAGCTTCTAAAATATTAGACTCCCTCTAAACACACGTCACCCTCAGCCCCTAGGAGTTTCTGGGTCTTTCTTAAAGGTGCTGGGAGGATATTGCCACACAGACTTCATTTCCTACCCAAGAATTTGAAACCATTTCTGTTGAGCGATTTATTCCTAGTTCTTGAGGGGCCTTCCCCCTCACATTTTAGGAAGCTCTGGAAAGACCACCACCATTATTTAGACCAGAGACCCACAGTTAGAAAAGCTGTATTGGACCCACCAAAGAAAACAATTCCCCACCTCCTGCTTTCTTCCACATAAAATGGGAATCTCCATCTTAATTTAGACTTTCTACCAGCAAGCTAGCAGGGGCAGGACTTGGGAGCCATCCTTCCCACAGAGGTTTTCTAGGTAAAGACAAAGGAGCGAGAGTCAGCTCTAAGAGACCTGCTACTTCTTACTTCCCGGGAGGGTGAGAAGGAGGAAAATGTTGTCGTGCTGGCAATTCTATTTATAAATGCTCCTCTTTACAATAAGATGACAAATTTAAGAGACAGAAGAGGGGAACAGCAGCAGCTGCCCACATAGACTATTACTTTAAATTTAATTATTGGAAAATCACTCTATTCGGGCCAGGAGAGGGAAGGAGGAGATTTGAAGACAAATAACAAAATATGGAATGACACCAAAAACTAAGTTATATAAATATGGGGAGATCAACAATCACCTAACGAATACCCCCATATTTGAACCAGACAAGAGGAAAACTGAGATCCAGAAAAAGTAGAATGCTATTCTCTATTAAGCTCCTAACACCTCTGGTACTCAGCTGCAAGTGTAGATTATACTAATTCTTTAGCCATGAAATCAGCGAGATATTTATATAATTATCTATATATCTATATGTGTAACACTTTTTCTGAAAACGAACAGATTTTGTACTCTGATCTAAAAATGGGCTGACCCACGATGTGACAATTCAACTCCTGGTAGGAAGCACAGGACTTTAAACCTTGTTATGAAAAGGTAAATTCTATTATTTTACATCTAATCCCCTGGTTTACTGATACACCTATAGCCATAATATAGTGGGATCAGAGGCACTAAGGGGTGGAGTGCACTGGCCGTTGCTTGGGGCCCTGATCTATACAGGAATCTAAAATAATGTTGAAAAACATCAAGGGCAATAAAATTTTATGGGGAAAATTATACAAGTGAGCCTTGAACAATGCATGGGTTGGGGGTGCCCATAAGATTTAACTGCGTGGGGCACGCAGTTAAAAATCTGCATATAACTTTTGACTCCCCCCAAAACTTAACTACTAATAGCCCACTGGTGGCCTTAGCAAGGACATCAACAGTCAATTAACATGTTATATGTATTATATACTGTATTCTTACAATAAAGTAAAGTAGAAAAAATGAAATATTATTTGGAAAATCATTTGGAAGAGGAAACACACTGTACTGCATTTATTCAAAGAAATCAGTGTATAAGTGGACTCATGCGGTTCAAATCTGCGTTGCTCAAGGGCCAACTATATGTGCCAGAAAGGACAGTGTGTGGATAGAAGAGCAGGGAAAAAAAAACTTTGAAAAGAGTCTCGGGTAGGGATGGGTATGGTGATGAGTCCTATCAACACACACACAGGGGCATGCACACACACAGGCACTGCATCCTCCCATTAGAAGAGGTGGTCCCTAACTACCATCTAAGGAAAGTGGGTCTCCTTAACTATTCCCATGGGGCTATTGTTTCCCAAGAAAGGCACACTGCCACCAGCAGTTCTCATCCCCTTTCTCCCCTGAAGAAATCAGACTCTTCCTGGATATCGGCTGAGATGTTTGAAGAGTATCAGGCATGAAGAAGTCCCAGGTCCCAGCCTTCCCAGGACACTGGAGCTGGCTTGCACCCTGACTGGAATCACTCCAATTCACGTTTCTTTGACCTGTGAGTGATTTCTCCTTCCTATTTTGTCCCTGTTCTCTCACATCAAGACTCACATTCTCAGAGATCTCAGTTCCCTTTGAGGCAATCAAAATATGTGATTAAAGTGATTCATAGCAGGGGGCGAACCAACAGATTTTACCTAACAGGGATTTCTGTTTAAAAGTGGGGCTTGGCAACACTAAATACTGAGCTCAAGGGTAAAATGTGTTTTGTGCTCTTTCGTCCTGTCTCTGGAAGAGTGATGGCTAATTCTAAACATCTTCCTGATAGTCTGCCTTCCTCTGCCCCTCCAGCCCAGACCCCACCCTAGAAGCCTTCCTTATCAACACCTTCGGTTTGCCATTTTGTTAGTTCTGGGGCGGTTCCCTGCAGGGGTGACGTACCCAGGGGCCTAATGGTTACTTCTAAGAAGATCCTGTTCATTCAGCACCTTCCACATTTAAATACTCCAAATTTTGTTCAATCCTATATGAAGTGGAAGAGCGGTGGTTCCTCACACCACCACAACCAAGCATAGACTGTCTCTCGTATGAATCAGCTCCTGGCTTTGCACCAGATATTCAAAGGGATTTGAAAACTTAACTGAAAAGTAACTGGAGTCAACAATGTCCGTGATGAAGGGAATGAAAGCTGTTTCCCTTCGAAGAGAAATCACCTAAAAAGGAGTGGGAGGAGGAGGAGAAAAGAAGGAAGGAAGAAACCCCCAAGTTGAAACGTGGCATTTACTTGAAGAGGAGCCCGCAGAATGTACGTGCATAGACAGTTTCACAGCACAGAGGGAAGGCATCACTCAGAAGGCTTCCTTGGCGCTATTAAATTTCTTTGGTGGCAGCCTTGGCTGGGAAGGCAAGGCACAGAAGTTGCGTTCAGGGTTCTGAGGACCAAGAGGTGGTGTCTGCGAACTTACGGGGATTGAACGGCTCAGGAATCTCGCTGAGGAAGAAGAGAGGCCGGTGTAGGAGGGTCGGAGGATGGTGGGGTGCTCCTCCGTCTTGATGCTCTGGGGGTTCGGCTGGCTGCTCAAGGAGCTCCCACTGCTGCTGTTGCTTCTGCTGTACTGGTTGTTGTTGAGCTCAGGGTAATTTCTGGCAGGTGTTTGGGAGCTGCCGTTCAAGAGGTTGGTGAACGGGCTGGCTATGAAACCCGTCTTAGAGGACGAGGAGGCCTTTTTGTTCTCTGGCTCCTCTGTTGCAGCGTTCAAGTTCCCTAGAGAACTGGCTAGCCGGGAGTTTATGGAAAAGCTGAATGGAAAACACAGGTTGGGGGGAGGGGGACATAGACAACAATGTATACTCATGCAGAGTTCATGTTTCGAAAACACATAATTAGGACATGAGGGGAATGGGATGCAGACAATCTGATCAATGCAAATGGCGACAGAATGGTTTCTTTATCGCTCTTGGTGATATAATATGTGGCCTTGAGTTACACATGTTAACCTCCCTTCTAAGCAGTTAATTAAGACCCAAGAAGCTAGCTTAACCACTCTGACCAGAGATGCTGAGATAGAACATCTGGGGGGGCTCTATGTGCCCTGAGGTAGAGAGTAAATGAAAATGGGAGAGTAAAAAGTAGACCTGTGTGTAAGATTTAACTTACACATACTCATTCAAACATCCTTACCCATCTTAGTTCTGCCCATACGCATCCAAGGAGAAATGATAATACCACCTGTCATCAGCGTGTGCCATGGAACTCCAATTTCTTGATCACGTTAGGCAAGCTGGACCTTTGCTATAGAAAGGGATGCCATACAGCACTCCCTCCACAACCTTGCCCCCACAATGTGAGATAGTAACAAAAGCTCCAGAGGGTCACAGAGCCCTCTGTGATTTCTCCTCCTCTCCCTAACCCCCTCCTCTGACAAACTTCAGCCAAACTCATCGTCTCCTCCAGATGCCCTTTACACCCCCTCCCCCAGTATCTGAGAAGTAGGGTAAAAATTACCTTCTTACACTGGCACCTGAGGACAAAGAGCCTCTGTTTATCCTCTTGGCCGTTGCTGAAGGGGACAAAGCCACTTTTGAGGTCTTCAAAGTAGATGCAGATCCTTGAGGGGACGAAGTCACTCTTTGTGAAAAAAAAAAAAGGGGCAAAATGTCACACGAAAGCTCTGTCACCTTAACATTCAGCAGTCTGCTAACACGGTGAACTAAGTAAAGAGATCATAGCAGGTCATGATAACAGTGATGGTAGCAGCTGTCAACACTGACAGAGCACTTGCTCGGTACCAGACACTCTTCTAAGAACCTCATCGATGGTCATTCAGCTCATCCTCACAGCAACCCTATGAGGTAGCTAAGACTGCAATCCCCACTTTGCAAGTAATGAAATGAAGCCACGAGGGGGAAACTCCCCATCCAAAGTCACTCAGGGAGCTGGTGACAGAGCTGGGATTCAAATCCAGGCTCCACAGTCCTTGTCTTAACCATGATCTCGCCATGCTCAGTCACTTCCCTTCTTGATGGCATCATTCATTCTTTGCAAGACCTAAGATTCCACTTCTTTATATTTTAAATCTGTCCTCTTCTTCCCACTCTGAAACTGCCCTGGGTGAGGCCATCACTACTCCCTACTCTTGATTACTAGCAACATCTTTTCATCTTATTCCTTAATATTCAAATTCTGAATAGTCTCTGCTGGAATCTAAAATATTTAATTATGTCGCTCCACTGTTTAATCCATTTAATCTTTCCTCAGTGCCCAGAAAGCCTAAGTTCCTTGGCTTTATTTATGAAACTCTCCAAAGTCTGGCATTTGCCTTTGTGAGCAGGTCCTTTCTATCCATGCCTTCCCACTAGACACCTCTACATGAAATGTTCTGAATTCCTTGAATGGACTGAGTTCACACCTATGTCCAGCTTGCATATGCCGTTTTTCCTGCCAGGGCATCTTCTCTCTCTACTTCCCCTCCACCTCCATCTGCCTCATTCCTATTGTTTATCCTTTGATGATCCAAACAGCTGGTCCCCTATACAGCAAGCCTTTACTGAATTCCCAGGCAGGGTAAGTATCCTGTTCTATCACACATTCTCATAGCCCTTACGCACCATATTTCATTGTCTGGTATTTGTCTATTTCCCTTGATATAAGCTCCACTGGGGGCAAAGAACTATCTTTCATTTCAATTCCTGATGGTTAGTCCAGTGCCAGACTCAGACAGGATGTTCAATAAATTCTGCTGAGTGGACAGAGAAAACTGACTCAAATCTGGACAGCCAGGGCCCAGGCATGCTTTTAATATCAAACCTATTTTAACTTGAACAAACCATTTAACATACTAGGACCTTGTTTTCTTTCTTTTCCCCCTTTTTAAAAAAAGATTTTATTTATTTGAGAGAGAAAGAAAGAGAGAAAGCATGAGTGGGGGGAGGGGCATAGGGAGAGGGAGAAGAGGACTCCCCGCTGAGTAGGGAACCTGATTACAGGACTTGATCCCGGGACCCCCAGATCATGACCTAAGCTGAAGGCAGCTGCTTAACCGACTGAACCACCCAGGTGCATGGACCTTGTTTTCCTATCTGCTCTAGAAAAGCTTATTTACCTGTAGACTTTTTCCTTCACCTTCCTCCCCCCAAACAACATCTTAAATACATGGTTTACCTCTAAAACAAGAATGGGAAAAATAGTATAAGGAAACAGCAAGTTTCTGGAGTTCTGTCAAAACCACCCACACCAAACAACCCTAGATTCTTGGGCTGAATGAGAACCAGAGGTGAGGGGTGAATCAGCTTTTCACCTTTATCTCATCAACAGTCTTTTTATTTTTAAAGATTTTTTTTTGAAATTTATTTATTCATGAGAGACACACAAAGAGAGAGAGAGAGAGAGGCAGAGACACAGGCAGAGGGAGAAGCAGGCTCCATGCAGGGAGCCCGACATGGGATTCGATCCCAGGTGTCCAGGATCAGGCCCTGGGTTGAAGGCAGTGCTAAACCACTGAGCCACCCGGGCTACCTCCCTCTCATCAACAGTCTTGGCAAACATGTCCAAGGCTCTCACCAAGCCCTACAATGCACTCTGGTACCACTGGTACCTTGAAACTACCCTGGGACTATGTGGGGGACATTTTTCCTCTTCAAATGTTTCCTCTTCAAATGGAGGATGGGGGGGGGGAGGAAATAAAACTCAAAAGTAAAGGAGAAGTACACGTAAACCTAGGGGAACAGAGGACTAATAGAAATGTTAAAAACTCAAAGCAAAATCTGTCACTGGATTGAAAGACACGTTGCAGGGCAAGTTTCTTAGAGACCCTGCACCATGCTGAAAGCACAGACTACATTGACATCCCTACTGCAGCCAAACCTATGGGTGCCTCAAGAAAACAAAAATCCCCTTCATGGTGAGCATTAAAAATACAGTGTTTTGGATGAGCACTGGGTATTATACTATATGGTGGCAAACTGAATTTAAATTTAAAAAAATACAGTGCATTGTAGCAAGCTGGAACAGAAAGGAAGGGACTTTTTAAAAGGGAAAAGTTATGTGCAATTTGTCTTCACTAGTAAAGGTTGGGAGATATATCTAAAGGGTAGCATTTATTTACAAGCTACTGGAAATTCACCACATTAACAGTACCTGAAAGGCTGGGACACTGCTCTTGGGTGCCCTTTCATATCATCCAACCTAAGGAAATCAAAGACAAATGCTCAGGCATCACCAGGTTCACACATTTAAGCAAAGACCAAAAGCGGCTCTTACGGAGTCAGACCAGTAAAAATATTAAATTGGCAAAAGAGAGAAACCTCCCAAATGCGTATTAGTACTCATTTAGTTTCTAAAATTAATCCTAGAACCAGCAAGAAACCCACGTTAGTCATTTTGTTTCATCTTGAATTTCATTTACAGCAAATTGCTTTAAATCAGAAGGTGGTGCTACATCCACTCAGGGTCAAAAAATGTTTGATGATAATACCATGATGCCATTAGGGGAAACTGAATTCCAAAAAATGAGAATATTTCTAAGCATTAAAAAAAAAAAACTCACAAAAATCATATTGGAATAGCCTTCTAAAATGTGTAATGGAGATTCTCTCACTTTTTTTGCCTATTTATGTGCCAAAATATATGCCAACTTATTCCTCCCGCCCCTTATGATTTCTTAAGAATCATATATAAATCTGTTTGAAATTAATTTTAAGCAATATAAAGCCATTTCTTAAGAGTTTCAAGGGAAACAATAGTGAATAAAAGATTAGAAATCTTGAAGAATCTTCCACTGAGTTATTAGAGGATATCCACAGTAAGCAGAGCACAGACTGAATAGCACTGGGTGTATCAGCTCTATTCCAACTCATCCCCCTGGGGAGAGATTTAACCTCTCTAACCTCAAGCAACCAACCCAAACATGGGTAAAGATGCACACTTTTTGTGTTAATTCCATTAATCATCATATCCAAAACTAAGCACCTAACAAGGCTCCTGACCATAGTAGCTGCTCAGTGAATGATATGCCTCTTCAATTTTGGTAGTTGGTGGTTACTACCAAGCACCAGGCCTGCTATCCCATCTTCTCATGTTACTACCACTGTGAATTGGAGCTACATAAACCTTCATTCCTCAGGCCAGGGACCCATACTCAAAGCATATGTAACGATGTGCTCAGACCTAATCTGATTTGTGTTATAATCCCCCTAAATAATTAGGCTCAGACCTAATCTGACTTTAGTTATAATCCATGAAAACTAAACTCTCTGTGAATCTGTTTGACATGTATCATGCTGGCAAAACACCCCTCTTACTGTGCATGTCTCTCACTTAAAAGGCAAAGAAAAGTAGCCATTTCCCATTATAATTATTTGTGAACTTGTCATCCCATACATCACAGTAAAGAATCTGGAAAATATTCACAGATTTTTGCACCTACGTTGATCCTGAAGACTTTCTAACTCATCTGAACCATTAGCAGGTTCTAAATGTTGTGATCACAAGTTAGGCTCCATCAATTGATTCTGATTAGTAATTTTAGACTTCAAGCTTGGGATGGTTATAACTTTACAGACACAGGTAAGAATTGTTCATTCAATTCTCAAATATAGAACATAAATTTAAGGAGTTAGGATATACTCAAGCTTGGCATTCAATACTTTTCTGCACACTCTAGATTCAAAACAAAAGCCTTAGCACACATGTGAGGATTTGCCACAAGATAGGACACCCACTCACGGGGGAAGAATAGAATTCCAAAAGGAATTTTGAGCACAGTCCCAGAGATACCTAACTGCATAGCAGTTTAAGGTGGCATTCAGAGACTGAGATTATAGGAGATGCTTTCTGTAAGCTTCTAGAATTTAGCTGCTCCCTATAGTGACAAAATAATAAACAACACAAAATAGTAATAAACCAAAAAATAAGAGGTAAGCATGGCACTTGTAGAGTGATATTCAAGAGAGATTAAATATTCTATCCACAAATAGAGGCACGATGTAAATTTAAAAGTTTAAAAAGGATCTACCTAAATGCACAGGATGGTGAGGAGCGTGGCGGCTGTCTCTGACTTTTTAAGGCACGTAGTTTGTCTCCTTGGGTTATACTATTTTTCATTTCCACATCTTCATCCTCTTCTAAGTTATTCTGGAAAAAAAATGCATGTTTCATAGAAAAGTTATTATGAAGAATTTTGCTTTCTATAGATTTAATAGACTGTAAACTATATATTTCATATAGATTGACTTAACATAGATTACCTTAAGTAGCTTTAATGCACTACGAATTCTAAATACTAAATACATAATTCTATACACTAAAGAATATTCAACTGTTCATCAGTTAAATATATGGGTCAAATTCCACATCAGAGAAGCACAGGAATGGATGTAGTAGAGGGTAAAAGGAGCACTTTGTTACAATGGACCCCAACCAAAGAGCCTCTCATGCAAACAAAAATCATGCTTTGGAATATAGCTCAGATACAGACCGTCTCAATAGATACATTACAAATATGTTTCCAGGGACTACTAGGATCCATCACTACAAATTTTCTGTCTTGTTTACAAAAATGAAAGATAAAACAATTTAGGATATCTAGACGATAACTTACTAAGGTCAATTAACACTAGTAAAAGCACTCAAGACCTTTCCAGGAGTTAAAGCTTACTAATTGGGAAAGTATTTCCTTTTGAAATAAGTCTTATTTCAGAAGTAACACACAAGGTCTTTTCACATGCCAGTTCACATTTAATTCTTATAATTCAGGGCAGGGAGGACACTGTTGTCCATAAAGGGGAAAGAAGGAAGTGCTCATAGAAGTTAAGAATATTGCCCAAGCTCCCCTAAGCTCTTTCTGACAGCTATGATTCTGAAAGCAGATCTCTTGACCCCACATACAACATTCTTTCTAAAATATATGCCACAGCACACTAACACTGCACCAGTAAAGATTTTATTTTGCCCATTTCCTCCCCTGAATATTTCTTATGCCTTGAATTTGCTAAGATTCTTTGCAGCCATAAAAGTCTCCTCCCCTCTTTAAAGACAGAACTCTTATTTGATGAAGGATGTATGATAATATACTTCCCTCAGTCACAGTCTAGTCATATCTGATAGCCATTCCTGGCTCAAAACACTTCTTTGCTCCCTGCCACCTAGGTTGGGTTGCATCAATATACCTGGGATCAGTAGGCACATCCTGGGTAAAAAGACCATACCTTAATACTATAACTCTGAGTGTAAAAAAGAAAATAGAAATACAAAGCACATAGCCAGTGGGAAAGAGGAAATGCAGATGAAAGCTTCCTAGAGGAGGGAATCCTTTAACTGAGTCTTAAAGAATGAGTATAGAGTGAAATGGTCCTAGATCACAGGAAGGGTCATCCTGGCAAAGAATACCATCAGTTCAACAGTTACAGGATCATGGAACCTTAAAGTCAGACTTTCTCTTAAAGTCTTAAGTTGCCCATCTATAAAGTCTCCAGGAATCAGTTATATCATTCATCTCTGTCCATACAACCCCAGTTGCAGGAATCCATTACCACCCAAGGAAGCCTACAGAAATAGAAATAAGGCAGGCCTGAAGCATAGGTTTGTGTGTGGGATGGTACACCTGAGGAGGTGGGCTTAGCTTCACCCAGTAATCAACATGGGTGTTGTGACCAGTTACTTGTACCTAACAGAAGGACGAGCACACAGCCAGTCTCTAGAATATGAGTGGGGTCCAGAAGTATATTAAACCTTCATGGGACTGGCTTCTTGAAGGACCTGACAGGATCTTCACCTTCATCAGTCGGATTCATTGTCTATTGGGCACCTTTGTGGGAAAGCCAAGAAAGCTTGTCTGTCCTTCCAACCAGGAGGATCAGAGTTATGTTCCCAAGTCTGAAACACCTTCAAAATTCAAGGAAAAGTGAGTCTTCACCTGGCATTCCAAAATTCAACCTATCACTCTAATGTTAAAGGTAGAACAAATTTACAAAATTTCACCTTCCACACAATCTTTCTGAGAAAACTTACAGGATGTACATCAGGGAATAGTTAAGACAACAGGAAATCCAGGAAAATTAGGAATCCAATTGAAAAGTATGAAAAGAAGGCCTCAGGTCAGAAGTGTATAGTACAGCTAGAGAAAACTAGTCCAGGGTAGGAAGGAGAAGTGTCTTCGGGAAAAGAATGAACTTGGTAAAAGTTTTTTGCTGTGTTAAGACTGAAAAAAATGTGGGTGCCTAGGTAGCTCAGTTGGTTAAGTGTCTGCCTTCAGCTCAGGTCATGATCCCGGGTCCTGGGATAGGGTCTCTGGAGGGAGCTTCTCCCTCTGCCTCTGCTTTTCTCTCTCTCATGAATGAATAAATAAAATCATAAATTAAATTCATTCATGAGAGACACACACACACAGAGAGAGAGAGAGAGACTCAGAGACACAGGCAGAAGGAGAAGCAGGCTCCACGCAGGGAGCCCAACGTGGGACTCAATCCTGGGTCTCCAGGATCACACCCTGAGCCGAAGACAGCACTAAACCGCTGAGCCACCGAGGCTGCCCAATAAAAAGATTTTTACAAAATTTTAAATTAGCTTGGCACAGTTTTGGCAGGGGGAGGGAGTAGCCTTATTTTTTCCCAAGTACACAGAAACTATGCAAATAAAAAGGCCATTAATGGGATCCCTGGTGGCGCAGCGGTTTGGCGCCTGCCTTTGGCCCAGGGCTCAATCCTGGAGACCCGGGATCGAGTCCCACGTCGGGCTCCCGGTGCATGGAGCCTGCTTCTCCCTCTGCCTGTGTCTCTGCCTCTCTCTCTCTCTGTGACTATCATAAATAAATAAAAAAAATTTAAAAAAATTAAAAAAAGGCAATTAACTTACATCTGAACTCATTTAACATCGTGTCAACTGTACTTCAATAAAAAAAATAAATAGGAAACACTAAAAAAAAAAAATAGGTACCTAACTCTGGGAAAAACAAAGAAAGGTTCAACAAAGAAAACAGAGTATTCTACTGATACAGGAGAGCTTGGTTCTTGTCTCATGGAGTCAGAAGGATGAATCTCGCGGACACAGGAGAGTGAGTAAAGGGATAGAAATTTATTAAGTAAAGATACAGAGAAAGCACTCAGGAGTGACAGGAGTCCCGGCAGGGTTGCCAGTGAGGGCTTGTCCAGTTGGTCTTTTATTGAGAGCCTAATCAGGGAACCTAAATCCTTTTAACATTAATTACTGATATCACCATTGAGTAAGGACTAGTGATAACATCTTTAAAGGCTTACTTCTTCTTTGGGGTCTGGTTATTCTTTGGTGGTCACAGATGATGGTCATAAAAAAGACACCCTCCCACCCACACCTAGGGCAGGGTGGTCTGGCTTGTCCTTTATCTCTGGTTTCCTTACACCTCAGCATTTTTGGGATTTTTGTGAGCCTGCTTCCGTGGCCCTCTACCTAGTCCTCCCTAGCCCTGTTTGTCCCTAACTCACTACACCAAGCTCAGGAGTGAACAATCCTTACATGGTAATAATTTACATATTATTGTGGTTTTTTAAAGATTTTATTTATTCACTCATGAAGGGCATAGAGACAGAAAGAGGCAAAGACACAGGCAGAGGGAGAAGCAGGCTCCATGCCGGGAGCCCGATATGGGACTCGATCCTGACACTCTGGGATTATGCCCTGAGCCGAAGGCAGATGCTCAACTGCTGAGCCACCCAGGCATCCCCATATTATTGGGTTCAACCAAAAATAATGATATAGCCATATTGGGAAGAACAGTGGAGTGGGAATAACACTGGGGGGGGGGGGGGAGGAGCTAAAATTCTGTCTACCACAACCAGGAGGCAATCAAAAAGTGTCCAAAACTCAAATTATTTTAAATAGCATTATAAGCAAGACATATGTGTTTAGAAATATGGTAGTGAAAATGCGGATGTAATTTGCTTAGAGGATCGCTCTTTTGGGAGTTGGTGTAGGAGTGGGTGTAGGAGTACAGAAAGGTGGGAGAGGGAATGGATATTTTTTATTAGAATTCAGTACTTTTTAACACCTAAAAGTGAGGTCACATATTACTTGAAAAAATAAATACTAATTTAAAAGATGCAGTTAACCAAAAAAATTAAGTGTTTTACATTATAGTTATGTCACATGTGTTTTCTCTCCCACTTTATTATGTATCTTAAAGGTGAAATCTTTTTTTAAATAATTTCAAATGTAGAAAACAACAAAAACACTGCAACAGACAGTCATGAACCTAAGGAGCCAGATTCAATATATTTTCTACTTTAGCTCCTTTTCTTAAGGCGTTTACTTAAATACCCTAGCTCTCAAAAAAAAAAAAAGAAACCATTGCATATAAACTCCCAGCTCTCAATCTCTGGAGAAGGAAATCATGTCTCTTCTAAAGAAAAATTTATATATTATTATTTTACCCTATGATATGTGTTTATGATAAAATACAGATGAGAGTGAAAAAAATATTAAAGTCACCTACATATTTACCATCAGAAGCAAAACACATTAGCACTCTGGCATATAGTCTTCCAGATTTTTCCCTGTGCTATACATACCATCTCCCAACATACTTCTTCCTACCAAAAGAGGTTGAGTTACATATACGCTGCTCTGTAATTTACTTTTTCGCCTAAAAGATAAACTGCCAGAAGTATTTCAGGATAAATTTTAAAGACCAAAACCAAAAAAAACCTCTACCATATTATTCTATAAATAAAATAAAATTCCATAAAATTCCGTCGTCTAGATATACCAAATTTTATTGATTTCACCCTGGTTCAGGCAGTTTTCTATCTTTCATCACTATAAACAGCTCCAACAAACACCCTCCTTTATACATATGGCTTTTAAACACTGTTCTTTTATTGCCTTAAGATAGATTCATAGACGTGGAATTGCTAAATACATTGCAAAGTCTTTTGCCATGTATCATCAAATTGCCCTCCATTTGACACTCCAACTGGCAATCTTTAGGGGTTTTTATTCTCCAAATCCTTGCTAATACTGCATACATTCTTTAATCTCACACAACCTGAGAGGCAGAAATAGCATCTTGTCATTTAAATTTGTGTTTCTTTCATTTCTAGGGAAGTAAAATGTTTTTAATGTTTACCAGCCATGAGGATTCCCATTTTGTTTTACTTGTGTAT